CAGCAGGAAGTGAGACTTCAGCAACAACAATGGAATGGGCAATGTCAGAGCTTCTGAAAAACCCTAGAGTAATGGAGAAGGTGCAATCGGAAGTGCGACAAGTATTCGAAGGGAAAAAGAAAATCGAAGAGGAAGATGTTCAAAAGCTACATTACTTGAAATTAGTCATGAAGGAAACTTTTCGGTTGCACCCTCCGGGTCCTTTAATCCCGAGAGAGGCAAGGGAAAGATGTGAAATTGGTGGATATACAATACCAGCCAAGGCCAAAATCCTCATCAATGCCTACGCAATAGGGAGAGATCCAAAACTTTGGGCGGATCCAGAATGCTTTCAACCAGAGCGCTTTCAAGGTTCTTCCATTGACTTTAAAGGCAACAATTTTGAATTGCTTCCATTTGGTGCAGGTAGGAGGATTTGTCCAGGCATCTCATTTGCTACTTCAAACATTGAACTTGGACTTGCTCAACTATTGTACCACTTTAACTGGAACCTTCCAAATGGGACTAAACTAGAAGCCCTCGACATGGCTGAGAATTTTGGAATAACGGCTAGAAGAAAGAACAATTTGCATTTGATTGCCACTACTTATATTCCTTTCAACAAATGAGACACTATCTAAAAGAATGATGTAATAATTAGAAGAATGATGTAATCTTATTTTGATTTTAACTTGCAACTCTCTTAGGCAGCACTTTGTTGGTTTAGTACAAGAAAAACTAGTTGCAATGGGGATAGCACTGTTTTGCTATCTCCAGCTAATAATGTTATACCACGTGGAAGTGTTGTCATGCGTGTCATAACGTTATTGGTCGGAAATAGCAAAATAGTGCTATCCCGATACATGGAAGTCTTTCTCATTTAGTACAGACCTCCACTTATCCCTCTAAAATTAATCATTTTCTTTATCCACTTCAACATGTTTAGTGCGATTGTGTTGAACTGGTTGTGTACAATGGATATTGCAGCCTTGTTGTCACACTGCAAGTGCATTTCTGACGTAGGCGCATATCAAATCTATGTAAGCAATTTCTTTAACCAAAGGAGTTCGCAAATTCCTTTGGTTATACTTCTGAATTCGGCTTCTGCACTAGATAAGGCAACTACATTCTGTTTCTTGCTTCTCCAAGTAACTATGTTACCTCCCACAAATGTAAAGTAACCTGATGTGGATTGTAAATCAGTGATATTCCTTGCCCAATCTGCATCTGTACAACCATTGATATTTAGATGATTATTTCTAGAAAACATAAGTCCTTTTTCAGGTGCCGACTTTAAATATTTAAGAATTCAAAGAACCGCATTCATATGGTCTTCACTTGGACAATGCATAAACTGACTAATAATACTCATAACATACGCAATGTCTGGTCGGGTATGTGACAAGTAGATCAATCGCCCCACTAATCTTTGACATATTTCTTTGTTAGTGGGTACTTAATCAGGATACTCCCCAATATGGTGGTTCTGGACAATTGGAGTGTTCACGGGTTTGCAATCAAGCATTCCTGTTTCTGCTAATAACTCCAGAACATACTTTCTTTGAGAGAGAAATATGCCTTGTTTCTATCTAGCAACTTCAATACCCAAGAATTATTTGAGTCCACCAAGGTTCTTCATCTTAAACTCTTTTGCCAAATAGTCTTTTAGCAGGGAGATTTCCTGCTTATCATTCCCAGTAATAATCATATCATCAATATAAAGTGTGAATTTACCATATTATCCTAATTTAATTAATAATTTCAATTCTTAATGTTTGCATTAACCAAGGGTATTTTCTAGTATTTTGAATATTTTTCCATTCTCTACCTTTTGCTTTATATATATAGATCACTTATAGCAGGAATTTATACAAGAAGCAGGCTTGCTAACCAAGCTCTATTAATTACAAGTAGGTAGATTGCTGCTGGTCTTGAGCTCCTAATCCTTGAGCCCCAATCCTGGAGACTGCAGTAGCCTCCCAAAGTCAAGCCAACCACATTAATGTAGCCAACCTCATTAATGCAGCCAACCTACAACTGGTCTTGCTAACACTTTCTTCTTTTGATATACTGTAGCAGGCCTTCATTTCTTCTTTTGTTATCAGACATGCTTTTTTTGTTGCAAGTGTTAGACCCCTGTTTTGGGTATAATGCAATCAAATTTGACTGGAAAAAAAAAGCACTCAAATGTTCATTGTGAAATAGCAATCAGATTTAACAATCATAATAGAAAGATACTAAATTCTTGGTTTTTTTAATAATTAATTTATTAATTTTATAGAGAAAACTTCATTAGAAAACAAGACAGGAATTAACGATCCTGCATAAATACAAAACAGAACCACCAGGCGATAGCAACTAAAGCCAAAGCCAAAGAAAACCATAAGTAAAAGTACATCACACCAGCAAAGCCCTCCAACCATCGAAACAAGAACTGGTTGGTTTTACAGTTTTGTACTTCATTTTCAAAGCAGCCACTATCTCCTTCAATTGCTATAGTTGCTATAGTTGCTAAGTGGTGGTGGGTGTGAGGTGGAGAATGGTGGAGGGAGTTGAGAAAGGAGGAAGAGAAATTGGTTATAGCAAAAGACGAAAGTGTTAGCTAGACCAGTTGTAGGTTGGCCACATTAATGTGGTTGGCTTGACTTTGGGAGGCTACTGCAGTCTCTAGGATTAGGGGCTCAAGGATCAGGAGCTCAAGACCAGCTGCAATCTGCCTACTTGTAATTAATTTATATCCCAAACGGCTTTGTATATAGAACCATGAGCACATATCTAAGCATCCACACAAGAAATGCAGTTCTTTACCAAACAAAACTTGAACACAAATTTGTCAATGGATTCTTCCGTATCCGAGATGCTTCAATTGCCATCCTTTTTTGTCTTCTTAGCTTCTCTTTTCTTCTTATTGATGATTTTCAAATACTGGAAGAAATCTCAAGCCAAAGGCCTGAGCAAGTTGCCTCCTGGGCCAAAGCAGCTGCCTATTATAGGGAACTTGCACCAGTTGATTGGTGCCCTACCACATCATGCTGTCACCGACTTGTGCAACAAACATGGTCCTGTCATGAAACTGCAACTGGGGGAAGTTTTTGCCGTGATCATTTCATCCCCGGAAGCAGCCAAAGAGGTCTTGAAGACAAGTGAGATCAGCTTTGCGCAAAGGCCGGAAGTGTATGCAGTTGAAATAATGGCATATGATAATTCAGGCATCGTGTTTGCTCCTTACAACGAGTACTGGAGACAACTGCGAAAGATATCCATGATGGAACTCTTAAGCACTAACCGTGTCCGATCGTTCAAATCGATAAGGGAAGAGGAGGTGTGGAATCTTGTCGAGTTTGTCGCGGCCTCCGAGGGACATACCATAAATTTGAGTGACAAGATTTACACAATGACAAATGATGTGGTCTCTAGGGCAGCATTTGGTAACAAGTGCAAATACCAACACGAGTTTACATTATTGGTTGGGGAAATTATACCTCTGGCTGGAGGCTTTAACATCGCTGACTTGTACCCTTCTCTTACATTTCTTCGTTCCATGAGTGGGATGAAGCCTGCATTGATGAAAATTCAAAAAAAAATTGACGAGATTCTTCAAGATATCGTGAGGGAGCATAAGATGAAAAGAGAAGCTAGTAGAAAAGGCTTTGGTAGGCTTGGTGAAGATGAGGAAGATCTGCTTGACACGCTTCTGAGTTATGAGGAGGCCAATAATCATGAGTTTCGTCTCACAACCGATCAAATCAAAGCCGTCACTATGGTACCACCTCTGCACTCTAGCAATAATTGTTTTTATTGGGTAGTGGGCTTGTACTCGTCAATAGCAATTATTTGTGCATTTGAGTTCTTGTGTTCGAATCCCTCCCCCAATATCTCTTGTATTTTTAAACTCCTAAGTTGCCTAAAACATACTAAAACATACTAGCTCTAATGAGCCTAAAAATTATTAAACAAGAACAAGGTGTCTAGAGATGGTGTGCTTAGTGGTTTTTTTCTTCTTCTTGGCGTATTGTGTTCTTAGTCGGATGTTCTCACTGTCTTGTGGCTGTACAAAGGATTATGATTTCATAGTAGGACTCTTTTGACAGTTGGATTGTGTTGTAGTGTTCTCATCGGAGGTCTTTGCATTGAAGGTTTGTGTTAGCTTGTTGTCTTATTTTATTTTATCTTGCTCTAGCATTGGTCCTACTTGACTGTTTGAACCCTCTTGTTAGTCTATGACATTGTGGTACTCTTTCCTAGTGACGGATTCAGGATCTGAATCTCGTAGGGTCATATTGTAAATGTTCCGAACCCCGTAATAGTGGCACCACAACATGTAGTGGGCAGTGGCATAACTCCGACAACAGTGGCAATACATCAGCAGCACATAAAATAATCCAAATATAATAACTCACATTAATTAAATAACACACCAATTAACCACAAAAAATCTAAAACTCAAACAAATATAATCAATTAATCAACAAATCAAAACAATATAATCAGGCCATAAGTTTAATTTCTGTTAATGTATGGTTTTTACTATTTTCTTTTGGTTTCCCTTGACAACTTTGTAATAGGATGTGTAATGTAATTTATCAAGCTCAAGTCTAGATTAGGGAAAAC